GATAAGGATAAGGATAAGGATAAGGATAAGGATAAGGATAAGGATAAGTATAAGTATAAGTATAAGGATAAGGATAAGGATAAGAATAAGAATAAGAAAAAGAATAAGAATAAGAATAAGGATAAGGTTAAGGATAAGAAAGAGATTAAGGATAAGGATAAGCATGAGTATAAAATAAACGATAAACATAAGGAAAAGGATAGGGTTAAAGATAATGATAATGATAGAAAATATGATATTAATTCCGTTCTTTTCGTTTATTTAGGTCACTGTGCGGTGCAAATTGAGTTCAACGCAAAAATGTTTATAGACACGTATGTAAGTATGTACTTATGTAAAAATACATACATATGTTAGGTATATTTGTAAGAAAGAATGCGAGTTTAATAACAACGCCGACATGCAGTACGCCATTATTTGCATGTAGGCGTTTATCGACAGATTTCAGTACTTTTATTTTAAATTTCTTCATGTTCGATTTTTGTTTTTTTCTAGTGGGCTCCACCGCCTGCTGTTTTATTTTGATATTTTCTTTTTTGGTTACTCACCATATACAAATATTTACAATTTGATTGTTTCACCGCCACTTCATGTAGCAATTTTTGCACTTCTTTCCATTTTGAAATTGCTTACTTTGATCGATTTTTTTCTAACAACAGCAGCACTCAGGGCTGTCATTTCAATTGAAGGCTTGTCAATCAACACAATGCCGAGACTCTTTATCGATTACCATTTACTCAGCTAAAATGTCAATGATGAATACGAACGCATGTCTCGGTGGAGCTATCGTTTAGAATGCTTGCTGCTGCGACTCAGTTGCGAATACTTGATTTTTTATTGCGACAAATGTGCGGCGTAAACATTTCTTACGAGCACACATACGTGTACATGTGCGGTAATGGCAGCTGAATTGAGTAGCGAATTTAAAGCGACTTCGCTTGACTTGAATTGTTTTGCGAAAGGACGAAAGGAAGCAGCAGTCACAGCGGAAACAGCCGCGAATGTGGCAATGGTTGTGGCATATGTCATAACTTTGTGATATTTTGTATGCTGCAGTTGTGCTGTGGGCGCATATGTGAGCGTGTGTGTGTGTGTTTGGTTGGTGCTTTTAGCGAAATTGTTTCTTTCAATATTTTTACTATGCGTCATTAAAAATGTAAAATGATTGCAATGTATTCGTATGCTGAGGTATGGATTTTTTCATTAAACGAATTGCGCAAAAATTAAAAAAAAAGTTATTTTAAAACTGTGTGAGTAAAGGTATTACAAGCTGCAATTTTTTTTTTTTTTTTTGTTTTTAGTGCAATTCTTTAAGGAAGCAGCATATCATATACATAATCACTGCATTGAGCTCTGAAGTAAAACAGTTCTGTTTGCGACTTTAAGGATAATAACGTTGGAGTTCCTCTTTGTACGTTCTGTCAAGATCTCTTCTGATCAGAAGAAAGCGTTATCCGAAGCATATTAACTTTACACTTTCTTTCTGCCGTTAAAACTATCGTCATATTACTTGATTAGTATTTCTAGTTAATTTGCTGTAAAACTTGTTACTGACTTTTCCCTTATTGTTAAGAGTAAATAAGATAAGGAGTAAGTAGAAAGACCCTCTCTTAACATTTTCTCTATTTTCCTTTTTCTTAATGTTCAGCTTTGAAATAGGAACTATCGGCCCATAACCACATCTACTTTTAAAATGAGTAATTTTTAGTTTTACTAGATTTTTTGGTTTTATAAAATATAACTCAAGCCCTCACAAAGGTCTCGATCTCAAAATAAGGTTTTGAAATATAAAATTTCTTAGTGAAAGGTCTATCACACCAGCTGTCAAAGTAGACCCATGGGTTGTACGATTACCAAGCGTTAGGTGAGGCAGTTTCAGTATTTCTAAAGATACTCTCCGGGGTCTCTGGCACCACTTTATTGAACCAAATTCCTGAAAACCGAACCACATCAAGAAGGCATTCTATGAATAGGCCATTTAGGTACCGTGATTTGACTCCTTTGGATCACTTTTGGGATAATTGTGTCAATTTAATGGTCTAAGCTGGCGTATCAGGCTTCATCTGTACTGTTAGAGATCGAAATTCGGCGCTCTGTTCACAAGATAAAGCAGGCTATGGATGAAAAAGTGAGTAAAAAAAAGGTCAGCAGAATGACTTTGCAATTAGTGTGGAATTTTCTTGAGCAGAGAATGAAAAAACAAATTCGACCTATAACAAACAAAATATTGACTACAATTAGTTTTCTTATGTTTTTTTTTTTTATTTATTAAATTTTATTAATTATTAAATTTCAGGCTTTGAGTTTCAAGGCTTGAAAATCTGAGCTAAAACATAAATTCAATATATTGACCAACGATCTTGTTAGTTCCCAGTTGTCTGATGCCATATAGGTATAAACCAGTTTCGCTATATCTCATTCTATAGACTTCAAGCGACGTAGAAGTCATGAGAAATGCCCCCAAACTCAGAGAAACAAAAAATACAAACTAATAAATTTGCGATTAATAAAAATAAAAATAAATTGTACTCACCGTACTCAGATTTGTGACTTTATCCAATTCCACTGCTGTGCTGCCACGATGATGATGTAAATGTGGCAAATGATGTGTTGTCAACATGTTGCTGAGAGCTTTTCTACACGCTTACGTTCTACCGTTGTACTCTTGTTGTGTGCCAACAACAATTCAAAAAGCACTCGTTTTATATTTATTTACTCGTAAATAAAACTCACAACACTCTCACTTTATTTACACAGCTCTCAAAATATTTCATATAATCTCGCATCGGGTAATAATAATATTATTATTATTTATCACAACAAAGATTTTAGAGCTTATTTGTGCACAAACAGTATTTTCTCAAATTGCATTGTCAGCATAACGGATATTCTAGCTGCAACGTTGCACTTGCGCACACACACACATATACACATGTGTGTATATGTTGTAGTAGTCACGGCCGGCACGAGCAGCAAATGCACTGCAAAAGATAAAATAAAATGGAATAAAATGAAATAACATGAAAGAGCGGTTGCATTCAAGCTAAACATAATAAATGCTTGTTTTTGTTGAATTATTTGCGGCAAAATGTCGGCAGCTGACGAGTGCACTTCATGTGCCATGCAAACACACACACAAACATATATATATATATATTATATAACATATGAGTGTGCAACATGTAATATGAAGGGGCGCGCGTGTGCATGTCAAGGAGTCAACGATAAATGGTCGCTTGTCAACCGCAATATTCGCAGTTACTCGTACATGTGCTGTAGGGCACTAGTATTTAAACACACTTACAGCTATACGCATACATATACACATTGCAATATCAACACATATATATATATATATTATGAATTCGTTGCAGTTTGCTCGCCATTGCGGTTATGAGCGGGTGTTAGTATGTGTATGGCTGTCAAAGTGTTTGTTCATTGCACATTTCGACTGGTTTTCGCCATTGCCCTAACTAAGCGAGTTAGCTTCATCAATATGGCACTTACAGTTATTTTATTCACATACAGTGCAGAGAAAAATTAATGCTTAGTAAACTAGTATTGTTAATTTAATATGTTATAAAATTCTTCGCATTGTAGCATAAATTGTGTTGAAATTATACCGCATATCGAATTAGTGTTGCCAGATGTTTCGATACTGTTTTAAAAATCCGAAAATATATTTTTACACATATATGTATGTATATACATAACATAACTATGCATTTAATATCAACGCGTTAAAATTTAGTATAAGATACATACATATATCGCAACAGAGTTGCCAAGCAATTTTTTATGTAAACGGATATATTGCATTTATATTTTAATTTTTTCTGTTAGATAAATGAAACAGTGTTGCCACCTTACAAAAATTTTAAATAGGGGTTTTTCTACTCAGAATACAATTAAAAGATGTTTTCCGCGTTAAAATTTAGTATAAGATACATACATACATCGCAACAGAGTTGCCAATCAATTTCTTATGTAAACGGATATATAGGTATATATAAAAGAAAAATTATGTTATATAATAATAAAATATGCATTTATATTTTAATTTTTTCTGTTATGTAAATGAAATAGTGTTGCAACCTTACACAAATTTTAAATTGGGGTTTTTCTACTCAGAATACAACTAAGAGATGTTTTTTGATTTACTTGTATATTATAAAACTCAAAATCAAATTAACAACTGAAAAAAAAACCGTTGCCATATTTTAAAGAATTATATTGCATTTAGTTGTTGCTAACGCAACTCAAATTTTCGTAGAAGTTTTGAGAAAAATTTAATATTAAGTATTAAAATGTATAAGGTGGCAATAAATGGTAGTAGAGTTGCCAACACATTTTAATTACGATCCTGCAATATAATATGCACATCGTAAATGATAACTAAATATGCAAAGCTTTGGCAAAATAAAATATAAGCTTAAAATAAAAATAATTTATGTATGTAACTTTAGAGGAAGGGCATACAGATTGCCATGGAGTTGCCATACCACTACAACCAAGGTTCTCATATTTACAACATGTTCATATTTCACTGTTTAATTGGCTACAAGGAAATTATATAGCACAAATAAAGCATTTAAAGTTGCCACGTTTTCGTACAAAGTATTTGTATAAGAATATATAAATATAAATTTTTTAAAATCGAGCAATAAAATTAAAAGAGTGTACAACCTTAAAACGGAGTACAATCTTAGAGTTGCCAACTAGTTTGTATATAAACGTTTTTATATAAAGTTTAATAACACAATGAAAAAACCTTAAAACCCTTTGCCAATGCTGTCACATAGTTGCAAGATAAATGTGTAGGAATTTAAAAAAAAAATGAAATAATTACAACCAGTTGGGTAAATATTGACCATAAACTTTGTAAATAAAAACTGTACGTTGTATATTGTGTAATAAAGTTGCCAGATATTTAAAAATAGAGAATAACAAATAACTTTATTAAATAAAATATATATATGAGCACTATTTGAGTTTGCACAAACAAATTATTGACTTTACTTTTTACTAATTTTTTGGGCTCTTTTTTGTACAGGTTATAAGGCAGAAAAATAAAGATTACACAACGAAATTTTTTTTTTAGTTTTTAATGCATATTTATTTTCTACAAATAAACCTTCACTTTAGCTCTAGGTCTTCATTACATGGGCAGTAACTCCATAACATAAATAAAACCTGTGGTTTCTATAACATATCCCACATAATTTCCAGTAGCTTCCTAAATAAATATTTATGTGATATTTTCATGCCTCAGCTAGCGCACACGCACATAAAGACATATGTGGTGGTCATAATCAAAACGTGCATATTCTGCATAAAATTAAAACACACCTATTCATTACCATAATTACAAAGGTGTGCATAAAAGAGAAATTGCATCTACTCACATTCAAGGGCACACAGAAACAAACCACACAGTACACATATACATATAACAGTCATTTAAATGAAAATTAACTTATTATATGCTGCAGCAGAAAGGCAAGCGCACAGCTTAAATGCTGGCACATGAGCATAAATTGAAGTAAGGGCGAGTGCCCTTTTGTTCTCTTATTTTTAATGCAAACCGCAATTGCCATTATAAAGTCATAATAAAAGTATAGTTGTTAGAGCGTTTAACGTGTATGCAAGTGTGTGTGTGTGTGTATAAAAAATATGCAAATAATTCAATTATGTGCGCATAAATGCAGTTGTGGGCATGAATAGTGCTTACAGTGGATAATACTTAATTAAGGTTGCTCATACGCAGTGCTGGCCATTTCAATTGCTGAATGCACAGAATGCTTCTCAGTGAATAATGTTGATTGTAGACACTTTTTAATGTGTTTAAGGTGGTTATTGGCCAATAATTTAATTATGATCACTTTAATATTCACAAATTGGCAACAAATTGAGCGAGATGTGATAACATAGTTAATAGCTTCAGAAATACAAAAGTTTAGAAATTACGAAAAATAAATGAGTACTTATCTGAAACACGAAACGTGAGCTCTACTATTTTAAACTTGTTTTAAGATACTTATTTGAGTGATCCTTTATTACGTCCTTTAAAATTTAATTTTAGTATTTGGATATTTTAAACAAGAAGCTTCAATACCCTTTACAAATACAAAAGGTTCCTTAGAGTACTTGATTTTGACACGTCAGTTTGTATAGCAGCTATATGCCGATGCCTTGGACAATAATGAATGCCAAATTTGGTGAAGATATCTTATTAAATGCAAAAGTTTTCCATACAAGAATTTGATTCCGATCGTTCAGAATATATATATATAAGCTATAGGCATCCGATCTGAATCTGAATAAGAGATTGTGAATTGGCTTCAAGAAATAATCTGTGCCAAATTTCGTAAAGATATCTTATCAAATACAAAAAGGGTATGTGTTCAGGATAAAAACGAACACCTAAAAGTTATTTGAAAAAGAATAAGAACGATATATTAGACAACCACATCTTTGTGCTGACTCAACTCTTCCAAAGCAAATGCCAATTTATGTTATTTTCTGACCATTTTACTTCTGAACTTTTTAACTCTTTGACCATAAAAATACACCTGGTTCATGCCCTAGTTATGGCTAATCAAACGGTTTTGGTTTTCTTAAATTTATGAGTTTAAAAAAAAGCACATAAATTCGTATGTAAAACCACTGACAGTTTAACTATGCAAACTTAATAAAACAATGGAACCAAAAAGGTGTACATAACATAGATATACGAGTAAATATTACAATTTTTATAACACACAAATATTTATGTATATTTTTAGTAACTAAAACAAATATATTTGTATTGTGTGACAAAACCGCAAATTCAGAAATTTCGCTAAACTCAATGTGTCAAGTGGGTATTACCACAAGAGACTCGAAGAAATTTATTTCACTTGTATTTGTTGAAAGTGGCAAAACGAATGTGGGCAGCAAGTGCTACAGAGCAGATCCAGAGGCAGACAGAGCAAGCGCTTAGCAAGGCGGAAGTAATACAGATATGCTATAAATATAATATATGTGAGTATTTATATGGATTTGCACACAATTTCTATGAATGCTAAGTTACATACAAACGCACACATATGCATACATGTACATATGTTATGGCGATGCCTGCATATACATATCTCTGGAGATATCAGCATTTAAGTGCTGCTCATGCACCAGCAGTACTTGAGAATGTCGTTCTAACACCCACGAACATGCATATACACATACACACGCAAACGCATGCATGCGCTTAAACCCAAACACATTCGCTGATTTACTACTGTAGCTGTGTGGCGTAACAAGGAATTTGCACACACTTAACAATGTCGAAGTGAAAACCCGTAAAAAATATTTGTAAGAGCAACCAACTTAGCTACACGGCAGCTTTGAGCTTGGGTTATATGCATAAATCTTGCTTAATACCGTTAAGTATGCATTTAAGCATTTCGCATGTGGAGACAATGCTATTCTCAGTTCGTTAGCGAAAGCCGAAGTCAAAGCCCAAAACGCAGTACGAAACTGTCGTAAGCTAAAGTATGGCCAATTTGTTGAAAAACGAATATATACACATAACTGTACATACATTTGCGTGTGTAGATGTGTGCTTATAAATATGTACGCCTAATTTGCCTACGCACAGGAACTACGCCGGAACTTGCATGAACAATAATAAATCATGCAAGAAATTGGTGGCGAAATAAAGCACTACAATTCTATGAAATAAAAACAGAATATTTGGCATTGAACATATGCAAATTATACGCGAAAATGTATCTCTTATTCAGTTCGTTTCACAATGTCGTTGGCTGGGTGCAAGTATACAAGTTAAAAGGCAAATTCTAATATTTGTGAGAGTCTTCGAAAAAGAGTGCAGAGCGAAAAGGATCGATTTGCATCAATGCAAATAGTTATTCGGTCATTTAAGCGCACATTACCCACCCATTAAAATATTATTTTCGAAATTATAAAATTTTTGGATGCCATA